CAGTAATTTATTGACACTCACAGCTATAATTTTAATCATTGAATCAGTTTTTTTATCTGTGCTCTGCGTAATGCATCACATGAATCAGTTTTTAATCTATTAACTTATTACACATTTGTGCTCTGCTTTAGCATCACTTGACTATTTAAAAAAATTGTTTGTTCAGGCCATGACCTTATAGTCAGCCAATTGGCTATTGCTAAAATTGAATGTAATTTATTCAACAGACTTTCTATACTAGTCCCATGTGTTTTTAATTTTCATTACTTTATGGGTTAACTAACATTATATTTCTATTGTTGATGTTCTCACAAGACAAGAAATCAATTCACCGCAATGAGACAAACCGTAATAAACCTCAACCTTTCCACATTCATCATATACCAGGACTATCTGAAGCACAAGCTTTTTGTTCAGTTGATGATGATCCAAAGTAATTATAATACATTTTTTTTGACCTGTTCACTCCTCCATAATATTTCTTTAATACTACGATTATCTTCCTCCAAGATTTAGCTTATAATCACTAGAATAATTAGTTTTCATATAGGCTATATGCAATGCTTTTAAATTGAACAGACTATTACAGTTGCAGTAAAACTCTGATCTACCCTTACTTTGAGGGAAAGAATGATCTTGCTTTTGCTTCTAATAATTGCTTTTTCTTTGCAGATCACACCACATAAGTATTGGAGGGGACCCATTTTGTCGTCATACACCACAAACGAAATATGTCACATTAATGAAAGGGCTGAATGATGTCCCAGTTTGCACAGTTTTAAAAGAGTCGTCAGATGATAACACTATTATTGATCACAGGTATACCTTACTTAATTGAAGTTGATTAGACATTTTGAATCTCCAAAATGAATTTTCTAATTACCTTATTCATAGTACCTATCAACTGTTATAGCTACAGAATGATATTATTCAATCTTCAACTGTGCCTTTTCTCTTGACTGTGTCCTCTCTGTGCGCCAACGGTGTTCAAACTATGTTCCTACCAATACCATGCATTGACAAACTGTCAAATTACCCAGCGATTTCAAAAGGGAGTCTCAAAACTTACAAGTTCGACCCACCAGCTAACCAGCTAGCAAATATTTCATTCTCTTACATTTTCTTGGTGCTATTGAAGTAATTGCCATGATGTTACGATCTTATGATATCATCATGCTTATTTTTTCCTTTTCACCCTTTTGAAAAAAGGCAATAGTGAAAGGTTACGAATGGAGGTTTTTGCAGAAAAACGTGGATTTTGGAGAACGAGATAGGTGGGTTTAAATATGTCGTGTGTCCTTCCTTCCTTCCTTCCGTTCGTTACCATGCAACGAAAAAGTTGGGCGCGCGCGAGGATTGCTTGCGGAGATGTGATGTATAGATAGCCTGTGATCTATGAATGCGCGGCGCGACTGTGTTTTAATGTATATGATGCATGTAATGTATAATATTACTATTAGGTAATACGCCCAATTTGTACGTGGCACGCGTAGTGTATTGACGTGTACACGAGTATAGTTTAAATTTGCTGATATTATTGGCATTGTGAGATACGCACTTGATTGTTAAGTGGGTGGTACTACTGTTATGATATACAAGTACCGATTAACCGACCAGTATGCGAGTCCAGATCCTATAAATGTGTGTGCCTGGAAGGGTACAAATTACACAACAAAACTTAGGTATTAAGCAGATTCAGGTCTTCCATGCCTTTAGATTTCTTCCCCTCCCTCTCCTTCCCGGTACTGCAACAAGTTCCAAGTCTATACTCTTTGTTCAGAACTTTTGCTGGGGATTGGGCAATTTTAACGTCTTAATTGTTTCAACTCGGACAGTTGTCAATTAGCAATTTGATATTCATTAAAAATAATAACGCATTGAAAGTACATAAATATGTAAAATATCAAATTAAACATTCAGTACTCACCCTGTACTCTAATCTAATGTCACTAGTTAAACTACGTCACAGGGTTTAAGGAGTTTCTCTGAAGCTGAAAGCAAGAGGTTTTTAATGAAGCTCTTGATTATTCAGTTTGGTCCAGTTATAGGCTTCAGTAAGCCATAATACAGTATTATAGCCAGTACAAACGTTGTTAAACTAGCATAAGATTTATGTGAAAAATTCTAATTACAATGTTATGTAAAATAGTTAAGATCGGCTAATATCATGACAAGATTCCATTTTGAGAAAAAATAAAATAACTATATAATATAGCCTATGGAGGAGGGTTTCGTCGTTTCATCACGTGCTTTCTAGTGAAGAAATACCCTGGCGTCGTTATTAATTAAATAGGTACCTAGTCGAATTAAAAATGTTTAACTACAGCTATTGTCCGAAAATATCCCTAGAAGCTTCCAAGGAGAATAATCATAAGGGTAAATACGTTTAACAAAAGAATTGAGCAGAATACCTTATATTTGTCTGTTTATAAGTGATATCTGAGTTAATGGTAGAGGTAGAGTAGGACCCAAAATAACTGGTAAACCCTGGCCTGACTTATTTTGTACAAGAGAAAACCTTATCCTGGTAACCTTGTTGCCTGCACAGAGCAATTATATCTGCACATTCCTATTCTGAAATTAATAACCTTAATCCATTGAAATGTAATGAAACATTACAATAACGTTATCTAAATCACAAAATCACCCGTGCAGAATCACCCTGACGTTGTACCAAGATTGTCAGGCATCAGGATAGAGCGGATTATGAACCAGGAACCCTCATGGATACCCTAGCCATCAGAGGTCGAGCCAATGCTCTGCTTTCGTAAATTACTGGAAAGCAGAGCATTCATATTTTCTCTACAAGCAGTCACTGAAACCATAATACTCCCAAAGGCCCACAGGGACCGCATGGACCCATGTAGATTATAGGGAATAAAAGTGACACAAGCACTTGACACCATCTTTATAGTATTTATAATTTAGTAAATTATAATTTAATTAAAAAATTTACCGCAATTTTCAGCATACCGGTGTTTACTGACCAGTTCCCACTTTGCTTGACACGGACTCGCTTCCTTCCCATCAGGATCAATTTGTTTTGTTTCGGCTTTAAACACGGTGACTGTGACAACTGTAGTCCCTTCTCTCTGAAGGTCCACGGGGTGAAACTGTGCGTTCTTCACACCTCAATTTCTTTCACAATATTGCTCTGGATAAATGTTTTAATCGTTTAACAGGGAAAATTAAATTGGTTCAAACAAGGTTATTTTCAATCTTGGATAATTACAAAATCGAAACAAAAAGAAAGAAAAATATAGCCAACATTTGAATGATCAGTTTTCTAAAAATTTGCTCGATAATTCTAAAGTGGTATCACTGTTTAAGTTAAGCATGGTTTTTTATCAGTTTGTTTTATCATCAAGTACAAATCAAACAGTAAAATCCCACCACATAATTGTTTGTCATGTAAACTTCTTACCACTTTCACAAGATGTACAGGAAGAAGCCCACCTTCTTCGCTAACCATGTCTGGCAGGTGGCCATGGTGCAGTAATGAGTGTTGTATCACGGATACGCCCCGCAGGACACATACCATGTATAATTTATTGAAATTGTTAGATCATATTAAAGTGATTCATGTTTAGAAATATGAGTTTTAATTGCTCTGGATTACTGTTAAAAACAGAGTAATTATATAGACACAATATGAAAACATGCCAAGGAATCAGCAATCTGCATGCAGTCAGCGACCAATCACATTTTCAAAAGATTTAAATTTCTACACTTTGCCAGAATGCCTATGTAAATTTATTTAAAATACTGACATTAGACAAAAGTTTAAAACCAGATTAGTTCATACCACACTCGGGCGAGTTAGGTTTCAGATAATTAAACTCTGCGTCCCTCAATGCATGTCCCCTCCTTATCTCCACTCATTTGATTGGTCCTCCCTTGCAGCAGAAGTCTGAAACTGTTCTTGAACAAACGAAACGGTTTTCGGTTCGTTATCATTGGCTCCACATGTGTTTAGACTGGTAACCAGATGGGGTGGGGTGGGGTTCTTAGGAGAAAAGTCATAACAAACCTCATAAAATTTTGTTTGGAACTTATTCTAAAATCAAGGATAAATGCAAGATCGAGATTAGTTAGTCGAATATATTACACAAAATATGACTACAACTTGGAAGGGCAAGAAACGCCAAATTATCTTAAATTCATATCTTTCTAGAATCCTTTAAAGAAACTATTTAAAAAACAGTAATAAAATGTATTATCCACAACTGTTTTTATAATAATCAGTCACCTGGTTTTATAGCTCTAAAAAATCTGACGCAGTGTCTAGAAGATGAAAAACTCTATCCGCCCTCGCTTCTGCCCCATACTGGACCCCATCACTGTTTACACCATGTTGAGTCAGAGATGAGGATGTTGAGCCACCTCCTCCATCGTTACAGTGTATGACTAGTCCTGGATCCCAGAGGTTCTGTAAGGTTATCCTCCAAAACCTTGTCTGCATGCGGAGGGAGGGTAGTTGGAAAGGTTTAGTGTAGGAAGAGCTGCAAAAAGTACATAGATCCATTACACTTGACTGAGGGAGAGTAATGGAGACTCCCCTAATAGTATCCGTGTGGAATGGTAGTACCACACCGCAACCTCATCTTTGCTCCCTAGCATACATCCCGCTTATTTCAAGAGGATACTTCTTAGATCGAACACTATCCTGGCACCACGTTTGCTACTGGTATCCAGCCTTATATGGACACGTTCATATGAATTTTGAGATATTGGTAGATTTCTAAAATAGCGTTTTCTCAACGATAGTGGCTTAAATTTTAGCATCTATTAATCAAGCGTGTTCATAAGTTCTGAACATTAAGCCACGTGACCCATACTCCCATAAGCACTGCTCAGAAATAAAATGTATTGCTTTTAAGGCACTAATAATGTAAAAAATGTCACATTTTTGTGACATTGCTTTACCAAGCTGCCCAATTATCATTCTTGGTCTGAAATATAGAAGATTAGGTCAATCTACAATTATGATACAATTCTTTTTTTCTGTCAGAAAAGTTGTCTGAAATTGTTCAGCTTGTTATGATGTATGATTCGGCAACTCATTGCTCCTACCATCAGATGTGAGACTCAAATAGTGTGAGAGGTACCGATATACGATGAACTTAAACACCCAGCTTGCTCATGATTCATCAATACTGGGCAATTTAACCTTTGCAGCTTGCGGCATTTTGACCTTTGCTTGCGAGGGCTGAAGCTCTACTGCAACTGTGAGCTCTGTTAGAGTGCTGCCTTTTTCGGTTTCAGTACCGATCTCATCTTTTTCAGCTTCTTGCCATGTACATTCTTCGTCCATCTGATGGTCAAAGACTGGGTAACGTGGTTGGAATCTGCAGACGAACACTTAGGGGTGCCTAAACACAAACTTAAAGTTAAGGGACTCTTAATTTTAAAGTGTGGCACATCCGAGCGTACAGTCCACCTCCTGTGTTAGAGATTAAAAGTATTGTATATAACCAACAACCAGATTCCAACTGTAGACAAAAAATAAGGCCTACGTACCAAAACAACTTCATCAGAGAGTTGGTATTTATACTCCGGATATTGATCTTGTCGGCTATTCAGCTTGGTCACTGCTCTGCTGCTCAAATCTCGAGATAGCGAACCCAGAATCCTGCTATAAATCTTTTGCCTTAACTGCAGGTCCTGGGTTATATTCAAGTATAGAATTAATAAACTAAGGGTTCATAAGCTTCATTTTGTTGTCTATGTACAATACTTTATCAAATTGATAATCTTTAAGTACTTAAGATCAGTTGGACTTTCACTTACAGATTTTTCTTTGCGATGCAGTCGTTCCATTTCATTTTTCATTGAGTCCAAGTTCTGCAACTTTTGGTTTAACATGTTCTGAAAGGAAAGTTAACATTTCTATAATCATAGAATAGTTGGTGAAAATTTTTAATTTTTGCTTACATTACGTACGTCGTACCTAATCGATCAAGGCATAGACCACCTCCCCTGCAAGCAACAGTATGCTCTAGTTCTACCCCTCCCCCTCTCAGCTATAGGCGGTTTACGTAACGGTTAGCAATCTTTATTCGTTACCTGAAGGCGATTGTTTGGTCGCTTCTTGTTCTCATGAATCAGTGCCTCAAAGGTTAGCCCCACGCGGTTTTGTGACATGAGAACTATCTGTTGGTACTTTATGTTGCGCTCTTTCTTACTTTGTCACTCTCAGTATCACTGGCAAAGCTTTTGTAAAGTGTAACTGTATGTCTGCTTACCAGTTACATACAAAGAAAAGGCTGGCTAAATCAATAATGTTAGTACTAGTAGTAGTTAGTACTAGCAGTACCACTAGAACAGATAAACACTGAACAGTATTGATTAAACTACTTGAGCAACCTAAATGGGCAATTCAGAAGAGCAAACTATATATTCAGGATATATCACAGGTCTTCATATCTAAATTTGGGTGCTCAATTAAATGAAACATCGACCAACAGCAATTTTAATGTTGGCTGAGGTTGCATTTGAAGCCAGTTAAGCTGTAAGTGTATTACAAATTTTGACGAATAAAAATATTAAGCATTATAAAGTAAAAACACCGTCGCTACTAAAATTAAAAGCAACAACCAATGCTTGCGCCTTGCAGTGCTTGATATCGGCGGCCCGGTTATAAACTTATAAAGAACCACTATACCGGCCGGCGGTGTCCGCGAATCGTTACTAATATAACTAAGTTCGTACTTTGTTAGCCATGGTTAACGTTTGAGCGATAGTTTATCACACGCAAAGCATGGCATTGCAAGAGTATTAGTAAAAATGTTGGTCGGTATTAGTAAAAATGTTGGTCGGTAAAATGTTGACCGGTAATTTGTGAGATGACTCAAACAATAGTGCACACAATACTTCTTGAATCTTAGCTTAGCTTAGCCTTCAAAATGCCTCAAATTTTGAACGATTCTCCGTTTGATCTTAGTTGGAATTGGATGTTATAATTAATCCCTGGATTATGTTTCAAAACAAAGAAGACGCACAAGAATGAAGCATCATCATTTTAGAATTAGTCTATAATTGTAATGTGCAAATCGTGATCATTGCAGCATGACGTACTCGATAACTATTAATATTGGTAATAAACGATTGCAAGCTTAGAGATTGATCGCATTCATGCGATCAAAGATGTTTAGACCATTGTAGTAATTGGACTAAAAAATGTTAATAAAATAGCTACGAAACTGTGCACTGGTTAGAACCATGAAATAATATTACAATCAAATATGATGTGTGAGGGATTATGCTCATCAAATTCTTGTGCTTATTGACGGTTCATAATCAACCAATATCTTCACAAGTACATCAACCCTTTAAGTCGACAATTTTAACGACATCAATAACAACAAGGAATACTACGATCCCAACAAAACAGTATAGTTTCAAAGTTTCAAAATCTTCGGCATACAATAGCAAAGATATAGTTAGAGCCGAGCGAGTATTAAATGACATAGATATACTGTTGAACTTGAAGTTAACAATTAAGATGGCGAGCACTAAATATTCTTTGTAGTATTTTAACTCTGTACTTTTCAAAGTAGTCTGTGTTAGAGCAGTATGCTTGTTATAGCTAGTAGAGTGAGGGAAAACTAATGGAGTAGCTGGTTTAAAATTTAATGAAATAAGACGGCAAGCCATGCTGCAGAGCTGGTTTTTCACATTCCAGGTTCGGAAGAATGGTCAAATATTATGAACACGTTTATTTTAAATTAACATATACAAACACCGCGAAAATGATCCATGATTGTTATATTTACAGCGATTGTCTCACTTAAAGTTATTGAGAATAATTGACATCCCATCAGTAGGGACTAATCCTCTTTGAGATATCCCAGTATTTTTAACAGTAAGTTTTCATACTCATTCCATATCAAAGTTTAAAGTCGGTAATGAAAAAGCTCTCAGATTAACAGTGATCAGTGATCTCTTCTGCATTTCGATTTTTGTTGAGGCTTTACGCCAACACATATTTAGGAAGGTGAAAAATTACAAGTAAAAAAGAACAATTTCAAAATAATAAAATATTGCTTTATAGTACACTACTTACAATGTTAAATATTGAATTTATACACGAAGTCTCCAGTCTTCGGAAACGGATCGCATTTTTAAACAAGTTTTCAAAACAAGAAGTAACATTTTTGTAGCATAATTGATAATAACGTAATTTACGGATTGTGAATTCGTTTTAAATAGATTCAAATTAGAAATAAATATGGCGAAAAACATAACTGCAAATCGTAACGTACCATCGTTATAACTTTAAAAGACGAAAAACCCCGAGTTCCCTCATATTTCACTTAATTATTTCAAATGCAACCAAATATATATCAACTACCATGTCGCATTTCATGAATCATTGTTATAAGCAACCTTGAGTAACCTCGCAAAATCACTTTTTGCGCCGTGAGAATAACAAATGTTATTTGTTAAGGGTGCATGTGTGTAGGGCAACGGACTTGCACCTTTACAAATAATAAATATAGAAATTACCGAATTAAGAGTTATCAATATTTTACAATATTAAATCTAAAATTTATATGGTAGGGGCCTTGAAAATATTGTTTGTGACTCGACAACTTGCATGCGCAAAATTATCATAAAATAGATGCAGATGATTGTTTTAAATTGAGCTCCATTTGAACCATATAAACTGATCAATATGAAAACCCGAACCGATCAATCAATACAATCATATCTTTATCAAATATCCCAATTTAATCTAGTGTCAAAGGTCATAACTTGCATTGCAACTTGCTAGCCTGTATTCAGTATTCACGCATGTTCAGTAAAAATCCGATTACACTGTCAAATAAAGAAAAATCAAATTCTACCCGAGACTACTTAACTAATCAGTTCATTAATTAATTAATTACCCGAGACTACTTAAATCACCGATAAAAACAACTCACACACTCGACATGCCACAAGTATAACTCATCAAATAACACTTTAAACACATATAAAGTAAGACAATAAATCTTTCTCTGGTTCAGAATAATATATATTCGATAAAGCCCCTTATAAACAGATACAACTTATTTAAATTCATCTCGCTAAAAGAGTAAAAACTTCCGGATACTGTCCAAAAATCTTCCGGATTACTAATTAACTTATTGACTATTACTAGTAATTACTAATTAGTTACTAATCAATTATTAATGCCGGATCATATTCCGTCCTAACGACTTCCTATCGCCATCAGTATTTCTAAGTAATAGTGCAGAAGTTATACAAAAATAGTGTACAATATAATTAAAGACTGTTTACATTACTGTACAATAGTCAATACTGTAAACATAATAGTAATATGCTAAAACCACTTCACTCGTGTCTCAAGTCTTAAATTCCCTGCCAAGTCTCCATCTCGACTTTACAAACCATGGTAAGCGAGGGAAACCAACTCGTGATGACGTCACGTGAGCACTTAGCGGGTGATGAAATCACGTGAGCGCGCGTGATACCAGTGCACGTGGGCGAGTGATACCAGGTCACGTGATATTATTAGCCTACAGTCGGTGGCAGCTGTTCAGCTTCATCCGGGATCACGAGAGTTTTGGGAGGAAGCTTTCTGAAGTTCTCTTGTTGTCATCAGTCTGCTTGTCTTCTGAAGATAACAATCATAAGTTTATTCTAATACCTCATTTTAATTAAGATATCTTTAATCTTAGAGATGAATTATGTTGTTGCCTCATTGTAAATATTTTGGACTTGTGTAAATTTTTGAATTTTGAATTAAAAGATGAAATGTTCAGCATTTTAATCTGAATACTATGTCATCTTTATCTAAGTAGCAAATTATTTAGTTGAGATATTAATAGAATTTTTGGTATAATATCTGGTCAGTGGTAAGACTAAATGTCTCTAATCGCGGACATAGAGTTATACTTATTGTAAAAATACAATTGTTTGTTTAAAAAGCAGCCTTACTATCATCATCTTTAAAAAATCACAATGTAAAGTTTTAATACATTTTAATTCTGTAAAATCGAACTTTTGTTCTCAAGATGTTGAAACAATGTTAAAGGTGTGAATGTGGCTAATGGATGTGGTATGTACTGCGACCACTTTGCAGTATAGTTTTGAGCAATCCCTTCCTTGATCTCATCACGCGTATCTTGGACAGGCTGACATGTTAAAATTAGATAACTAGGTTGTAGGTGTTAAAGTCAGTACGTCATGATTTCATATTGATGACCGGCCAAATGAACAGGTGGCGGGGTGATTTCGGGCACTGGAATACCTGCACGGTTGATTAGGATGAAGTCTCCGTACTCAGCCTATTGAAGGAAATTACAGACCTGCGATTGCGAAACCGTCATTTGAGACATCCCACATCTGGAGCTCTGTACCGTGCTCAGCTCTGCCAATCAGTGAGCTGGGATACTTTCTGAGGACCAACCAAAGAGCAATTGTATTTGAGCAGGAGCCAATCAGAAGCCAGATCCGAGAGGATTAAGCCAATCAGGTCTGGCTCGGATGACTCACGTGACATGTACGACAGGTGCTCGAGATTTCACGGCATCAAAATACCATTTCTCGCGAAATCCCACTTGTGTTTTTGTTGAAAATGACTAACAAATTTAGCGCGATCACACCTACAAAGAAGTTGTGAGAAGTTAGGAACCTGGGCAACCATCACTGCTGAAGATCACCGTAAGTACACCAATTGCAGACCTTACAGTCCCCAATTTACAAGGCACATATAGGCGCATATTAAAATGGTCCCCCTAGTCAAGCTGCAGTAGATAGAGAATTATATTTGAGATATGCCCAGGTGTTGTGGGTAGGACCGCTAGTTTAATACGTTGAGATGGTCACGGATCTTAACTCTGGAGCACGGCTGCATTGTGTGCTCCAGAGCATTGTGTGGTTGCCATCACGTTCCAGATCCTTCCACCACACCTTCCACGGTGTGGTAGTTGAGTTTAGTGGAGGGTGTGGGCGTCTTTAAATGCAGTTTATCTTTCTTACGCTTTGTTAAGGTCTTACTAACTGACCGATCAGTTTTGTATGTTGCAACCCGTTTTGATCGTGTACTGAATGCCAGATTTCTTCTAAAATTTGTTGAACATTACAGTTTTTGTTGATCAGAATTCAAGCCTCTTTAACTAAGAAATTTAGAACAACTTTTAAAGTTCACAGTTTCAAGTTGTAAAAGGAGATAATGACAGAGTCTGAGAATGAAATGGAAGGGTCGTTGGTTGTGCAGATAGTGATGTCTCTACTTCTTATCGCTATTCCGGTCACTCTCATAGGAAACGTGATGGTTATAGTGGTCATTGCCAGACTCAAACGGTAGGCTTCACTTTTTAGATTTAGTTATTCACTAAAAGATGGTCATTCATAGATTAAATACGTGCCAATTACAATTTTTAAAATCTCCAAACATTTCTTGTGATATTAAACGTTCTCCAAACGTTTCTCGTGATATTAAACGTTCTCCAAACGTTTCTGGTGATATTAAACGTTCTCATTGTAGTGCCCTCAGAGTCACGACACACTACATTCTGCTGAACATAGCGGCCTGTGACCTCCTCACCGGCCTTCTCTCTCAGCCCATCATGCTCCTTAATGTGAGTATTAGATTTGTTATTAGTCATTTACAATTACTACTATTTAACCAGTAAAATAATTACTCGCCACCTGCTTGATTTTTTATTAGTTACTAAAAATTACCAATGGTGTATAATGGTCAACGCACTTACTGTGCAGTCGTGTAGATGGCCACTAAAGTAACGGGGCCGTTATTCGATTTTAAACATTTAAGCAACCATTTTGTTTCGTAAAATAGCATTCATTTCAAATTCCTAACATCTAATCGTTGTTGGTTTAATTATAATTTTGTTTTGTAAAAGAGCATTAATTTTAAACATTTGACAACTTTGTTGGTTTGATAGCATGATATCGAAACGAATTGTTTGTTTCGATTTTTAATTATGCGCATGCAGTTGATCACGGCTTGCAGTAGGGTGAAATTCAAAAATTTCATAAGCTACATATTTAACATAAATAAACTGAAAATTGGAAAATTAAAAACATGAATAAGTGACAGCTAATATATACCACTACTCCAAATCTGAGAATTTTTGCACAAGCTTAGTTAAATCTGAACACGTTTTCAGTTAACAGGTTGGGATAAGGAGTTCCACGCCCGCTTCCCCTGGGTGTGTAACATACTGGGCTGTATCTCCGCTACTCTTGCTTACGTTTCCTTCTTCACCGTGGCAGGTTAGTTCAGCTTTTATCAAACTATATTTATAGGCCATGTAGCTGAAACATTATCTTTAGATCACCGCCAGGACAAAACTGTAGAATTCAGTTTCTAACCAAGGTCTGATTGATTGAGGAGCACTACCCGAAGGCATTACTCGGCACTAACGCCTTAAAATCTTTAATTACAATCAAATATAAATATATGCACACAATGTATAAAGTATTAATAATGTATAAAATATGATTATGCTATTAGCAAATTTAAATAGTACTATTAAGAATTTTAAATAACTCTTATCTCTTGACATAAATTTAGAACAGCGACACAGGGTCTGAAGAATGCGCGGTGATATTTTTATCTTTTAAAAGTTGTAAATGACAGTGAAATTGCGCGGTTTCGATAGCATTGTAAAAAATGCTCGAAGATAGTCATATTTTGTTATGAGGTTAAAGTTTTGTTGCTCGTTATTATGATCAACGTATGTTGTACCAAATTATTTAAATTTCTAAAAGTACGAAATTTGAGTTGTCCCAGTCCTTGTCATCCGGTTTATGTGCTTGTGCAGTAAGCACATGCTTGTTGACTGTAGACTTGAATGAATTTAGGAATTTGTCTTGTAGGCAAGTGGTGACATATTTTATGTCCTTGTTAATAATGTTGACTGTTTGGTTATATAACTTAGGCCCAATGTAAGAAATGCTCTTGTCTGAATTACATAAACGGTTAAATGGTACTGCAAAGAACTCAGGTTCTCTTCTAGGTGCGTTTAAGTTTGAAACAGTGAACATTCTTATAATATTTGGTGGTGCAGTGTTAGAATAAACTTTGTGCATTAAGCATAATATACATTTAGCTATCACGTTCGGTAAAGCTAATACTTCTAGTTTATTGAAAATTTCCTTTGTGTGTGAAGGTGTGCTATTCAGATCTTTGTCATAAAAATAGCGGTGGTATTGGTTATCTGCAGCGCGAATGCCCTTTTTCTGGGCCGAGAAGACTCTTTTAACGGAGTTTAGCGATCTTGTTCCCCAAACTGTGCAGCAGTAGTACAAGTGAGACTGAACAAAGCTGTTGTATATCAACTTGAGTGCTTTGTTAGGTACTGAGCCTTTGAGTTTGTAGAGAATACCCGCATTTCTAGATACTTTAGTGGCTAAATGTCTAATGTGGTGGGCCCAATTTAGCTTAGTATCAATGATCACGCCAAGAAACTTTTCGTGATAACTTTGCTTTAGTCGCTCACCTCCCATGTAGATTTCTATATCCTTAGTTTTTCTATTTGTAAAGATCATATATTTAGTTTTGCTAGCATTTAATTTGAGCCCGTTATTAGTAGCCCAATCAATTATCAAAGTCAGAATCTCATTCACCAATGCATTAAGTTGTTCAAATGTATCTGTACTTATTATTAGGTTTGCGTCGTCAGCGAAATAAATATGTTTAGCTAAATTACTAATCTGAGGAAGGTCGTTGATGTAGATTATGAACAGAATTGGTCCGAGAATGGAGCCCTGTGGTACTCCGTAGTTAAGTTTGAGGTGAGAGGACTTGCAGTTGTTGACGCTCACGTATTGCTCTCTATCGGTTAGATATGAGTGAAACCAAGATAAAGCCAACCCCCGAACTCCATAGTGCTCAAGTTTTCTCAGAAGAATACTGCTGTCAACCATGTCAAAGGCCTTGCTGTAGTCCAATAGAAGCAGTGCTGTGACCTGCTTTTTTTCTAGTGCCCTGTGAATATGGTTTTGGGCTTCTAGTAAAGCATGTTCGCAGCTGTGCCCAGCCCGAAATCCGTATTGAGAGTCAAATAGGATTTTCTCTGTCTTTAAGTGATCTAATAGTCGCGCTTGCATAATTTTTTCAAAGATTTTTGAGAAACATGAGAGTAGTGAGATAGGTCGATAGTTTGAAACTTCAGCACGTGACCCACCTTTGTGAAGTGGAACTACTTTCGCGATTTTCAATTTATGCGGAAACTTCCCCTGATGTAGAGACGCAGAGACTAGGCAGCTAAGCACTGGTGCAAGTATATTGCTCACTTTTTTCAGGGGAAGTATACTCATATCAGAAGTCGACTTAATCTTCAAACCCTTCACTATTTCAATTATTTCTGATGCGGACGAATCTTCTAGATTCATGCTCCGCTGGCATTTGCTATCTTGAGTTTCTGTTACGATAGTCCTGCCCTCAGAGCATACGAGACCATTTTCTCTCTTAAGAGTCTCAGCTATATTGCAGAAATAGTCATTGAAGCTATTCGCAATTTGCTGAGAATCTGTTATCTCGCTCCCATTATAGTTAATTTTGTTTATCTTAATTTTGCCTTTTTTCTTTCTGTTTAACAAGTTATTAACCATTTGCCATTGTTTTCTGCTGTCGCTAGAATATTTTGTAAAGTACGCGTTGTAATATTTGTTTTTGGCCTTATCCACGTGTTTATTCACAAATTTCTTCATTTTCTTGTACCTAATATCATTTTCAGTGGTCGGGTTTGTGACAAAATCTTCATAAAATTTATTTTTGCGATCACATGCGCACCGTAGCCATTCTTGGATTCACGGCTTTGTGTTTTTACGGCGGCCTGGTTTACTCTTTTTTGCCTTAATTGGGAAATTTCGGTCGTATAGTTCACTATATTTTTTATCGAAAGCCTCAAATTTTTCATCTACAGAATCATAGTTATTAACCAAGTTCCAGTCTACCGCAGAAATGTCGTTCTCGAACTTTTGGATACTGTTATCGTTTATTACTCGAGAAGACATTTCTGTTGTATCTTCTTGAAGTTTACAACTGAGCCTATTCTGATCAACCATGATTGTGACAAAAGTTGCCAAGTGGTCAGAGATTGACTCAGAAATTACTCCCGATTTTGTAACAGCGTGGCAATTATTGACGAAAATATGGTCAATGATTGTCGCACTGTGATCTGTGACTCTAGTTGGTCTAGATATCACAGGAGCGAACCCATGCTCTGCTAGAGTATTCACATACTTAGTGACAGAGTCTATTCTCCCGTAATCTAGTAGGTCTATGTTAGTATCACCGGCCAGTATGATATTTTTGTTTCGATGTCTTGCTAAGTTACGGAGGAAAATTTTTAATTGTTCAAGGAAACCAGTCTGATTGCGAGAACTACTGATTTTTAACCCAGGTTTTGTTTCAGGAATAGCACTGGACAGATGCCTGGTCGTTATACTGAAACACCGCTACAAATTCATTGTGACCCGGAACAGAATGATAGCTGCTATCTGCACCATCTGGAGCATCGCCCTGCTCATGGTTTATCCAGTGCCGAAACTTATCTTCTGTAGGTCATATTACTTCAGGTATCTGGAGGACAGGATGATGTGCGTTGCAGCTGATGATAAAACTCTTACCTCCCAACATATCGTAACAGTCAGTACAAACAATTTAGCATATTCTCCGGATTTAGTTTCCTCTCCAAATGAAAGCTACTGTATCGGTACACGCTTCCTTCCAAACAGTTTGGCCGCGTTGGTAAAACAGAAAGGGTGTAAGATAATAGTAGCCCTAGTAGAATCAATAGCTCTGATCGCAGTTCCTGTTCTCATTGTCCTCATCACCTCCATTGTCCTGATAATCGGACTGTACAGAAAGCTCTGCTCTCAAAGTCACGTGGTCAAACGCAGTGTCGAAACTGTGATTATCATGATGGTTGGGTTCAACTGCTGTGTTCTACCTTACTGTCTCACAGTTCCTATAGACCCTGTGGATCTGGGGGGACGCTGTATGTTGGTCTTAATATTTCTCCTGCAGCTTCACTCCGCCATAAATCCTCTTATTTACCTTCTGAGGAGCTCAAAGTTCAGGAGACAAGCCATTACTATTGGTAGTGAGTTTATAAGGTCTATTGATAAGAGACATAGGTTGAAGTCTATTAGACAATCCTTTAAACGCAGACAATGTGATTAATCAATAATTGGTCAATTTATTTAGGAATTTAGCACTTAAATTATCTCACTCTCAGAAAAAGACGAATTTAGGTGTCCAATATTATTATTTTTAGAAAAGATTATGTTTATTATGAAAGTTGTGCTTATTTCATACACCAAACCATCTTATGCTTACAAAATGCTTTTCTGTGCTTCCTGATTCTCTGATTGTATAACGTGGACCCATTTAGTGTTGAGAAGGTGAGATATGCTATGTAATACTACAGAGCATCAGTTGGTCTGCGTTCGTCAGAAAATCTTCATGGGCAATGTGCCAACATACCACATATCTATTGTCTATTTTCTACGACGAAAGATTTCCGGTAAATTTATAAAGCTTGTAAAATTGTTTGTAAAACCTTAAAAAAGTAATCTACATGACCGCGCAATTCTCCTTAGCCTTAGTCTTGACCTCCTGGCTCTCTTTCTGCATCTTATACTTCAAACTATTACACCGCTCAATCTCGGAGTTCCTGGTAGAAACAAACTCTCTGTACTCCTTACTGCTCCCCGGAGGTGCAGTGCTCCTACCTGGACTCATGACATCACCATTTGCTGACGTCATCAACCCAGACTTGATGACGTCATTATTACCGCGTTGTTCGTTATCTTCAGAAGGTTGCGCGGTGTGTGAGCGAGTGGGTTGAGGTGGTGGTTGGTCGGAGAAGCGAGGGTAGGTGGGTTGGAGGGTGGGTGGAGAGGGTGGAGGAGGTTCGAAGAGCACCATGGGTGAGTGGAGAAGGAGGGATGTTAGCACGTATGTGGCTTCATTTACTGGAGAGTGAGAGGTGATGTGTGAGATGTGTGAAGTGAAATGGACGTTGTATTTAGTCTTGCACGAAAATTTACATATACAGTTAGAGTCTATACTACAGTCTATAGTAGAGTTACAGTCCATAGAAGGACAGAGTAAAAGTAATATAAACACAGCGACAATGAACCTACCTTTTTTCTTGACAATCTGTGAAGGTGTGACAGCGGGTAAGGATTCTGAAGTGTTTGGAGAAATAGTCTGTAACGTGCGAGGGACTATAGGTTTTAACCACGGGTGTCTGAGAGCCTCATCAGGGGTCCACCTCACTGCGGGATCCCATTCCAGACATTTCTTTAAAAAGTCTATAAACTGAGGGTCGTCCGTATGGAGTTTGGCATGCAGGTCCTTGCTGCCTATCCTCCGTTTCCTCTTAGATGTTTGCAGCTTTGGGCAGTAGTTACCTTTACTATCTGTGACACGAGATAAGAAGTGAGTGCTTATAGAGTATAGACTAGTAGAAGTCTGTCCGAAATTAGAAGTTAATTGTAAAACGTCAACATGAGTTTTGTTGGCAAGGTTACCACTCTAAGTTGTTGACATGACCCGTGTAAAAACACAGAATTACTATCCCTACAAGTTGCATGACTCAATAAACAGGGTCACACACATATAAGGATATAAGGAGTAAAATGGCGTACCGAAGAAGATTCGCTTCCGTTTAGCCTCGTCTATCATATTATTGGGCGGCATGCCCAGAACCTCCATGATGCAGCTCAGCTGATCTGTTTCATTCTCGCCCGGAAACAGAGGATATCTGTAGAGTTAGTTAGTTAGTTAACGGACGTTATTACCCGCAACTAATGCCTTATTCGGAAAAAAACTTAAGTCATCGTAACTGAAAACTCCTAGACTTTCCTTCTCATGGAACCTTTTCCTATTTACTGAACTTAATGAAGGATAAGCTTCCTGATCTGTATAGCACAAATGTTTATTTTGCCACATTCTGTATTACCAACGATTCATTGAATAAAGTAGATTTTAAAATAATCTTAAGGATAAAGATAGTAGTAGTACTGACCCAGTCTGAAGTTCTGCTAATATGCACCCGAAGGACCACATGTCAATTGCTGTGGTGTAGGGTAGTCCTAGAATCACTTCTGGTGATCGGTAGAACCTGGGAATATCGTGTTAATTTTACCTGTAATCAATTAATTAATTAATTAGTTAATTTTACCTGTAATCAATTACCTAAACTAAATCTAAGCTACAGTGTTCTTACTTACTAGTTCTTACTAACTAGCAAACTTCAGAAAAAGTAAAATAGTAAAATGTGATAAATTGTGACAAAATATATAAAATAAAGAATATACTAAATTTATTATCTAGTGACCTGCTCTGAATATATGTGTAGAGACGCTGATGTTCGTAACAACTTGACCCAAAGTCAACCACTTTGATTGCACTCCTTCCCCGTTCTCTTAACAATATGTTCTCCTGCAAATGTACGTGTGAATCATGATCATAAATAAGTTTTAATTTTATTGTTAACAATCATTTTAATAACCTACACAATAATAAATCGTGCTTACATAATTGCTTGATGCAAATTTACAAATAAAATTGCGGTTCTCATTGGTGGTCAAAGAGAACGGTTAAAAAACTAAACAGTTATTTTAAAATAATTGTTTTATTTTAAAAAAAAGAAATAGCTAGAGGTAGAAAGAGGAAGGAAAATAACGAAATATCAAATTTAAATTTCAACAAACGAAATAATAACTAACCGGTTTGAAGTCGCAATGTATGATTTTCTCCCGGTGAAGCATACGCAGACACAGTAACATTGAGTAGGCGAACTTTCTGATCAGATTATTACTGAAACCCTGCCGAATTTGAATTTAAATTACTTTTCTTAAGTTTTAAATCCAAACTCGACACCACGCACAAATAAGCAAGGTCGTGTACTATGTATAACATGCAGACTCTCTATTTATACAAACCGCCCATCATTCCGAACATCCACTTAACCATTCAATAAATTATTTTATCACATTAATGATAGACTAACAACTTACAATTAATTAACATAAAACATAACTAATTAACGAACCTGGAAGTTATTCCTTTTAAGAAGCTCGTACAAGTTAATCCAGAGTAACTCGAATGTAATACAGAGATGATTTCTAAAGTAGAAATATTCCCCCATGTGAACAAGGTTGTACTTGTTTTCCTTATCCTACAGAAAAGAGGCGTCAAATGTTAATATAAGATCAACATTCAACAATCACGAGGATTGGAATAATATTAAGAACAACTGCATGTTATTAATAATCATCAATATCATCATCAAACGTTTAAAAATATAGCATTTCTTTCGAGTTTTTGTATCAATATCCTAGGGGACTATCACGTTAAAGATTTCTTTTCGCATTCCTATAACGTTGGAAAAGTTCAAATAATTCAATTTCATAAGAAAAAGTTATTTATATAAGTCTAAAATTTGACCATGTACCTTGCGCCTGAGTAAGTCTAAGAGCTTAACTTCGACCAGGGCCTGATGATGAAACCTCTTCTTGTTTCTGATTATCTTTATCGCTACCATTGTACCATTCTTGTGATCGTATGCTTTAACTACCTGTGAATGTTGGAAATATGCTGTCAGATCAATGATATAACATTAACATCTTTCAACTGACAGAAATCAATCAGTAATAAATAACATCCATGTCAAATGTTCATGAAAAACAAAATTTTGGTAAATTTCACTTTGCGAAGAACTTCTAAGATGATGGAGCAGCTGTTACATGGTCGTTAAAATTTTGTAAAGTAGACTAACCTGACCAAAAGACCCTTTACCAATAACGTCTAAAATCTGATATCTGTACACTAAATGATCGTTCAGAGTTTTGATATAATTTCCATTATCTTCATCGTATCCTGAAGAACAAAACAATTGTCATGACAAGTCATCTATCTCTCCGATCTAGACAAAGTATGCAAACTATTTCGTTACAAAGTAACGACCAAAATATGTTAATGAGGTGCTAATAATAGTTCATATTTTTGATATCAGAACACATACATCAGCTTATTCTACTACTGCAGCCAGTCCACACCCTGGCTCCATAATATGAAGGACTTGTTTTAATTCTTAGTGGAAAGCTCCAACAGACTTACAGACCCGCGGAAGATGTTACAGTTAACAGACCCGCAGAGGATGTTACAGTTAACAGACCCGCAGAGGATGTTACAGTTAACAGACCCGCAGAGAATGTTACAGTTAACAGACCCGCAGAAGATGTTACAGTTAACAGACCCGCAGAGGATGTTACAGTTAACAGACCCGCAGAAGATGTTACAGTTAACAGACCCGCAGAAGATGTTACAGTTAACAGACCCACAGACTCACAGAGGATGTTACAGTTAACAGACCCGCAGAAGATGTTAAGACCCCACATTTAATAGCAGCATTAGAAGCTGATTACAGCAGCTATTAGATGATAACAAAATGGTCCGATTATATCTTTTCGTCACACGCGCTGTCACAGCTTATATTGACAGATAACGTCTAGACACAACTTAATTTCAAAAGGTCTAGACACAACTTAATTTAAAAAATACTTTTGTTAAGTAAAGTTTTAGAACAGTACCAATTTCCATCATGACACCAGCTGTTAGCTGTAGTCGTGACAACAGTAGTCATATAAATGTACACGCAAGCAGTAGACGTAACGATTTTCACGGCTCAGAAAGGTGTTATACAACACAGCGGTGGCGTTGACGCCGGCAATAGTGTCGGTAGTATGGCGTCACTAGGTGTTACTAGGTGTCTTGGTGGTGTCACTATAACACTTTTGTCAGCACATCATTTGAGTATATTTAAGGCATTTGTCGAACTTCGACACATCAAGCAGTGTGTGGTATACCCGTATAGGCAGTGTAAAGATTTCAGTGTGTATTTTTAAATGTACTATATCTGGTGGGTGGCTGCCCTGAGAGGATAAGCGATCTCTTCATAAAAAGGATTCCCAACATTCAGAGACGAACAGAGAATCATTATAATTTCTATAAACCTTCCCCATTTGTCTTAACTCCGAGCTATTTATAACTGTCTGGGTTAAAAGACAATATTGATGGGAGATCACGTGACCAATATCCGAGACAGTTCAGAACACTAATTATATAAATATAAGGCACTATTCTACTTGATATCATTCCTTCATTAGTTAGGATTCACAAATAAAACGTTGATAGTTCTAAGACGGATCTTTCACCAGGACCTGCTATAAATAGTACCAGACGGGAAACAACGCTGTCAATCATAGTAAAACCAGCGGATTGAGCGTCAGTAGTGAGTCAGAAGGGCAGCTTTAACTGGCTTTACTGTGACATAAATTGTCATGTACTGTGCTAAGTATGGATAATAAATTGCCTTACTAATTGTAGCAGTTTGTCTATAATGTTTAACCGAACTCTTGATATTATGATGTTGCTAAGTTGCTAAGTTGGGTCTCACTATTATATATAATATAATATATATTATATATTAGTATATATACTAAATCTGTATCTGTCCTCCAGATTCCGCGTCAAAATTAGAATGTAGAGACACTTGACGGATGCGTACGGCTTCGGTAAATATTTGAAAATATGCAACGTCAAGAAACGCAAGGATACCCTCTTTCGTATGTGTGTGACGTAGTCGTGTTGGCTTGTTTACGTGGATACGTGAAACATTCAAAATATAGAGAGATAAAGCTCAACTGGAACGGAGTTTTGTATCTTAAAACTAAAGAGAAAGTGAAATTACCGTTGTTGTTGGGTGCTCCTGGTTTTCCGATGACCTTCTTGGCGGTCTGACCGACGTACCAGACCTGGGGATAGCTGACAATTTCACTCTCCTCAAAGTCCGTTAACACGTGACCGTATGCCTTGATGGCAACTGAAATAGGGCGTTGGGAATTATTACGTGCGTCAGGGTTGAGTTGGAAACTTGCCAAACGGTTTGACTTGATTTTGTCCAGGAGACGTGAAAACTGCTGACGTTACGGCAGTAATAGTGTGTAACCGGGTCAGGGACACAGCAAACGTCAGAAACCTCACAATTTCCATTTTAAAGATATTGACTGAGAGGTAGAAGAAAATAATTTAATATTGAAAGTGAAATTGAGAAAGATGCCAAAGTGAAAGTGAAACCTTTAGGGGACATTGGGAGCAGGTAGCCGTCCACATTGTACTTTACTTTGTTCTCTTTGTTGTTTATGGAACCGGATCTAGCTGACCTGTAACAATAACAAGGTTGTAATTTGTTGTTCATTTAGAAAAATTATTGCACGATCAAAGCAAAAACAGATGATCGCTGCATGATTTCTGTCGTTCTCTGTATCGCACGACCATTAGCTGCATAAGTAAATGTAAAGCAAGGATGATGTGGTGCTTATTCTAGTTCAGTGTTACAAACTAAATGTAACATCATAATATCTTAACTCAGCGCTCAAAGGCGACATTATCACGCACTGATCTTCAGTAGTCGGTACTGTTGAGTCTGTCGCTGGTTCGTTTGTAAGTCTGTGGTTCTTTCTGTTTGTAGTTTTACCTCTGTTTACATTGCATGTTATTTGGTCATACAACGTCGCATTTCTGTAAAATTTTTGTGAAAGACACGTACTGATACAATTTAACTAGATGTTGAATATAATGTGATGAAGTCGGTATGTTACAAAAAGATCTGGATTGAAGCTGAAGACTTATTATCGTGAAGTGAAGTTGGTATAATTTGTATCAGGTGAATAAGTGATAATTTATGCTTAAAGATTTCAGGCGCTTTACTATAAAGCACCTAAAATAGAGCCTCTGAATAACAGCCTCTAGAATAATATGTCGGAAATAATAAACTATATCAAGGACCGCGCGGCACAAGTGCGCCGTTATTTCGGACTTTACTTATGAGTCTAGTTTAGGTGGTACAAGTCTCGAACTTTCGCAGATACTTGTACAGGACACACATCAAACTTTTAGCTAAATTCTCGAAAAGATGCAGACTAACTGCAAATGAATACACTAACCTGATAATGAACACCAAGGAGTGCAGCAAAAACTTGGACACCAAATCTACCAGCTCACAACAGGCTTTTAAACAGACAAACACACTATTCCTCATCGAGAGAACCACTAATATGCCGGGATGTTGTACAAATACAGATAACAAGGCTCCGAGAGGCTACACTGGAAAGTACTAAACTCTAAAAGTGATGAAAAGCTTTCATGGCTTCAGAACGAATTCCAATGAACGTGTTTAACGGGGAGCCCTGTTTAAGTAGAACCGCTATAAGTACAATACTTTATTATTTATATTAGTGTATATTGTGGTATAGACTATATAATAATAGAGGTACGTAGTGTTATCAAATAAAAATTATCCAATCAGCTTCGCTATTCAATTAGATTCTACTCAATTAATTGATTAAGTGCAGATTCTAATCTCGATGATGCGTATTGCAGTTAAGCTGATCACACAGTTGACTAAATAGCAACGTGATAAATGAGACCTGTGTAGTGTGTGTGAGTACTTAGGATGAGCAAAATTAAAAATTCGGCTGTTCTCAGTTCTCTCGAGTTGTACTTTTAGTAGTTGTGTCATGAAAAACTGGTCGTTTACTGATCATATGCTGATAAACTACTGTATGTTCACAAAGGTAATCAGTGTGTATACATTTCCAGCATATTGAGGCCTTCAAAATGAACCAACCACAGGCTTGCATTTCAATCACGTGACTAGGTTTTAGACACGCTATCGGTTCTTTTGGAGCTCCAACAATACGCTGTATAACTGTATAATTTATGCAGATTGCAGACTACCTTAATGTAGGATCATGGTTACTCCCTAATTATTGATATGCGATAATCGATGTGATAACATTTCTATGCCTCCTTTAACTCCAAAAGTCGAGTATAGCGTGACTGTGTTGGAAGATATTATCTTACCTGTCGACTGTGTTGGAAGATATTATCTTACCTGTCGACTGAGTTGGAAGATATTATCTTACCTGTCGACTGAGTTGGAAGATATTATCTTCTTGTCTGTAGGTTCCATCTTGGTGGTTGGCAGAGTGGTGGACCGGTCGTTGGCTGTTGCTACCGTGGCCATGCATATCCTGCAATACACAGTAGTTAGTAATTTAAAAAGTTATTAAATAAGTTATTAAATTATTTATTTAAAAAGTTATTAAATAATTTATTAAATAATTTATTAAATTATTTATTAAATTATTTATTTATTAATTATCAATTGCGTTTCCTGCAGTAGAAAGGTCGAACAGGAATTTATGTATTTTCCATATTTATTTATCGTCATGTGGGATATGTTTGACCATAACGTTTGGAGCTAAGTGCAATAAAGAATGCGTATCAATATATTATAACGATGAGTTTTGATTGAGAGGTGATCAAGAACATAAAGAATTGTTCTAAGTTACTGTGGACAGTGTCCACTGATATAAATAGTGTTTTCTCATCCTGTCTCTTATCTAAAATCTAGAAGAGGAGAACTTAAAAAACTCAATCTGGAAGAGCCATCGTATTTTAATAAGCTTTTTAACATTGTGTTGCCAACTCTTTTCAAAATAAAAAAACTGTTATCACAACACATGCCTCAGCACTGAATGCGGTACTTTTGCGGTATCAATTTGCGGTATTGCTATTTATCATCTTGACCACCATAGCTCTAGGTTCATTAAACTATTGCTTCTCGCAATCAAGTTTATAACTTAATGCCGATTGGCAGTGCAGGTTATACACGTTAGAACAGAGAAAATACCTAAGATCACGCGACAAATAGCTTAAGAAGTCACGCAAAGGAGATAAAGTTAAGATAAAATGCTTTTTTAAGAAGCTCGGATATCGAACGGAATACAGCTAGGTCACGCAGAGAGTTATGATGAGAAACAAGTACCATCGATAAAAAAGGAGTTAAGATTCTGTTTCAACTCTCAAAGGAAGCTAGGATATTAGAAAACCGAATTTTCAACATGTAAATGGAATGTAAATGTGCCAATAGCTATAGGATCCTTAAGGAGTGTTACATATTAAGATATTAGGTGTAGCTTACTCGAGTACTCAACACACATATTAAAAACAAAGGCTTCAAAAAGACGTTTGATCTATTGAATACTGAATAATGAACGTTATGGGTCTGTAGTACATGGGAACATGCTAGAGGCTGGCCCGTAAAGTACTCAACATAACTATTCAAGACAAAGAATACAAGCGTATCAGGATCGTATTTCATCTAACTGCGCAGGGATATCTCCATTATGCTCACAATCAATTCCCGCCCAATGTCCATTATAAATCTCATTAACAAATTGTATCTTATACGTTAGTGAACGTAATCAGCAAATATACATATAATAATATATAAGAAGTTAATATAAGATCTTTGAGAAGGCAGTTCTTGAGTTCTCGATCAGTTTCTGACTCTGAGAATAAGTACAGGTCACTTCTCCAATATTTGTTAAGTAACAGTGTTACTAACAGTGTTACTAACAGTGTTATTAACAGTGTTGCTAACAGTGTTACTAACAGTGTTGCTTACAGTGTTACTAACAGTGTTGCTAACAGTGTTACTAACAGTGTTGCTAACAGTGTTACTAACAGTGTTGCTAACAGTGTTACTAACAGTGTTGCTAACAGTGTTACTAACAGTGTTACTAACAGTTTTGATAACAGTGTTACTAACAGTGTTACTAACAATGTTGCTAACAGTGTTACTAACAGTGTTGCTAACAGTGTTACTAACAGTGTTACTAACAGTGTTACTAACAGTGTTACTAACAGTGTTACTAACAGTGTTACTAACAGTGTTACTAACAGTGTTACTAACAGTGTTACTAACAGTGTTACTAACAGTGTTACTAACAGTGTTGCAAGTATCAGAGTTGCAAGTTTATCCGAGTTTCAAGCTGACAAACATGAAAATGTTACAACACGAAACTCATTACATGCCTTATTAATTGTAACCCCGGCTACACACATAAACCATATTAACAATCTAGCGGACAGTGTATCTGTGTTTTTCAGCTAACGATCCCCCATGGTCAGGTCTCTCTCTGACGTATGGATATAGATAACAAGAGTGTCCTCAACATGAATATTCTCATATTATTGGCAAGCTGTCTTAGATACATACATTTGACATTGGGCGCTTATCCAGTATTAAGCAGTTGTAACCAAAAAATATGGAGGGAAGTGGTTCACAGATGACAGACACAAAAACATTTAGTGGAAGAAATCGAGCAACCAGTCAATCCAGAAACGTGAAGAGCAAATCTCTCGATCAGTCTAAGAAGTTAGCTGCCAGAGAAGCAGTGAAAAGCAATATTAAACAAGGCAGGGGTCGGAGAGAGTAAGTGTGGTTCTTACAAAGCACGAGTACACTGTGCATGGAGGTATAATAACATTGACAAGTCAAATTGTAATCAGTCGACTAATTCAGAGAGCTCTCTCTCTCTCACTCTCTCTCTCTCTCTCTCTCTCTCTCACTCTCTCTCTCTCTCTCTCTCTGTCTCTCTCTCTCTCCCTGGCTTTATCGCGCCAGTACTTGATGTACCTTCTCTCCCCCTCTGTGTACCCTGTACAATACACTCTGTAACCGGTGTATAATTCTGTACACTGAAACACTACAGTGCAAAGTTTGGTGCCCATGTCAGGACCAGTGTAACAGCTAGTGTACAGCCCCTGTGTTAACACACAAATACAAGTAAGTAACCTCCCTGAGTGAGCAAGCTAGGGAGATCCTGCTGGGAGGGTGGTGTTTAAGTACCCTCCCTGAGTGAGCAAGCTAGGGAGATCCTGCTGGGAGGGTGGTGTTTAAGTACCCTCCCTGAGTGAGCAAGCTAGGGAGATCCTGCTGGGAGGGTGGTGTTTAAGTACCCTCCCTGAGTGAGCAAGCTAGGAGATCCTGCTGGGAGGGTGGTGTTTAAGTACCCTCCCTGAGTGAGCAAGCTAGGGAGATCCTGCTGGGAGGGTGGTGTTTAAGTACCCTCCCTGAGTGAGCAAGCTAGGGAGATCCTGCTGGGAGGGTGGTGTTTAAGTACCCTCCCTGAGTGAGCAAGCTAGGGAGATCCTGCTGGGAGGGTGGTGTTTAAGTACCCTCCCTGAGTGAGCAAGCTAGGGAGATCCTGCTGGGAGGGTGGTGTTTAAGTACCCTCCCTGAGTGAGCAAGCTAGGGAGATCCTGCTGGGATGGTGGTGTTTAAGTACCCTCCCTGAGTGAGCAAGCTAGGAGATCCTGCTGGGAGGGTGGTGTTTAAGTACCCTCCCTGAGTGAGCAAGCTAGGGAGATCCTGCTGGGAGGGTGGTGTTTAAGTAACCTCCCTGAGTGAGCAAGCTAGGGAGATCCTGCTGGGAGGGTGGTGTTTAAGTACCCTCCCTGAGTGAGCAAGCTAGGGAGATCCTGCTGGGAGGGTGGTGTTTAAGTACCCTCCCTGAGCGAGCAAGTTAGGGAGATCCTGCTGGGAGGGTGGTGTTTAAGTACCCTCCCTGAGTGAGCAAGCTAGGGAGATCCTGCTGGGAGGGTGGTGTTTAAGTACCCTCCCTGAGTGAGCAAGCTAGGGAGATCCTGCTGGGAGGGTGGTGTTTAAGTACCCTCCCTGAGTGAGCAAGCTAGGGAGATCCTGCTGGGAGGGTGGTGTTTAAGTACCCTCCCTGAGTGAGCAAGCTAGGGAGATCCTGCTGGGAGGGTGGTGTTTAAGTACCCTCCCTGAGTGAGCAAGCTAGGAGATCCTGCTGGGAGGGTGGTGTTTAAGTACCCTCCCTGAGTGAGCAAGCTAGGGAGATCCTGCTGGGAGGGTGGTGTTTAAGTACCCTCCCTGAGTGAGCAAGCTAGGGATATCCTGCTGGGAGGGTGGTGTTTAAGTACCCTCCCTGAGTGAGCAAGCTAGGGAGATCCTGCTGGGAGGGTGGTGTTTAAGTACCCTCCCTGAGTGAGCAAGCTAGGGAGATCCTGCTGGGAGGGTGGTGGATCTACCAGATTGATATATTGGCGGCTCATTTAGCCTTATAAGCTAATCCTAGTCCACTGATCACGTGACCAAAAACGGTACACAACCGGGGCACGTGACCGGCTTTATTGTGTCATTATTTGGGATTGTATTGGCCAGCCCGTGTAGTAGATTTGATATAATATTACAGTATTATGGAGGGAGACGGGGGTTAATTTTGTAAGGGATTGCAGGTAATATAATGGGTAATGGTTGTTGCTGCGATGGGTACTGCAGGTAATATATTGGGTAATGCAATGGTTGTTGCTGCTATGGGTACTGCAGGTACTGCATGTTATCCCTTTGTGTGGATAATCGGTGGAGTCACTTAAAATAAGAATTGTTCAAAGGGATTAAATAGCGCAAAGAAAAATGTGAATGACTCGATATGATGTCAAGACTGTATAAATCTCAAGGAACGAGGGACTGAAGATCAGAGAACAAGGGACTTAGTTCGGCTCAGAGAAGGAGCTGAGATTCGTCAGTAGTATCATGTTGGAAATATCTATCGTGCAGTGGATGGTCTGATTCAGTGAAATTAACGTCATTATGGCTTTCAGCTAATTATATATTATCAGATAAGTAGGGTAATATGACAGGCTGGTAGATCTGTACTATTAAGAGCGCTCGTATATTCACATTTACAGCTTAACAGGGGTATAAGGTATAAGTCAGACTTGAAACCCAATTATCACTATTTCCAATCTCCATTTACACAAACGTATGTCAACACCACAGTCCAGAGTACCTTTTTTACGGTTTCGTCCAACTCTTACATGACATTTTCTATATCACCACACGCGAACTGTCTTGTTCATATTTATAATTTTATAATTTTTCTATTCTTCCGACTATAGAATAAACGGAGTAAAACCTTAATAATAACCAGAAAACATGAGTAAGATCAATTTAAAAACCAGATGTTCTTGATCCTGAGGTTCGGCTAGACCACAAACATTAAAACAACGTTTTACCTGTTAGACGTAATGGGTGGCAGCTTCATTATCATTTAACAAAAAAAGAAAGATATAATCTAGACGATCTGCATGATTACTGCATATCAGAAACTGCTGATAAATATCTATATAATAATAACATATCTGAAACTCAATCAGG